AGTTCCTGTTCCTTCGCATACATTGCGTATCCATCAGCGAAAACTTTTGTCCTTCATTTGGAGTTCTTCTTGACCCAGAATTAGTAAACATATCTTATTTGCTCGAAGGAGTGAGGGTGGGTTATCTGTCCCAAATCTCCAGTCTTATTACCTGGCAGCTAATATTGCCCCCCTAGCTCATATTCATGCATCTCACCATTTCCCCTTGTGGGCTACTGTAGATTTGTTAGACTCCCATCCGATACCACTCTCTTCCTTACCGTGGCTTCCTTTTTCTCATCGACCATCAACCCTTAGCCCGACGCTGATGCTTTTGCTTCGTCTTTGGGACTCCATTAAATATTCCACTGGCCTTATTTCTGCCCATCTACCGTTGTTACGTCTGTTACATAACCCATTATTCCCTCCAGGCCGGGACAATCCTAGGCAATTTGCCTGGTGGCAAACACATGGTTTTTATGATGTACATTCGTTGCTATCTCCTACTCGAATACTTACCTTTGAAACTTTGCGCTCTTCCTATAACATCCCTTTGTGGGAACACTTTTGGTTACCTTCAACTCCGTCACTTTATTAATACACTAATACGGACGCAATCGGGACCTTACTGTCTGTCCCCCTTTGAAAGCCAGTGCAGATATAGACCCCATGCCCCAGGACTGATCTCTTTGGTTTACTCTTCCATTATTTCTTGTAGAACTCCTCCGGTCCATTCCTATCATCAACGTTGGCAGTCGGAACTTGGGGGGGGACTTTGGATCAACAGGATTGGTGGACCATGACCCAAGCATTATCTAAATGTTCTAGGAATGTCATCATTCTCGAAAATGCCTACAAAATTCTTTATCGATGGTATTATACACCTGCTTGTCTAGCTAATTTTATTCCTACATATTCTTCGGCTTGTTTTCGGGGATGCCAACAATTCGGTACTATGGTTCACATCTGGTGGACTTACCCTAAGGTTAGCAGGTTGTGGACTAGGTTTTATGCCCTTCTCCGCACTATGTTTCACGCAGACATTAAGCGTAACCCGCACGAAGCGCTCCTATTTAAACTACTGGAGGGCCTTCTCCGCTCTGAACGGCAGCTGGCATCACATTTATTTATGGCTACTAAATTGACAATCGTGAGGGCTTGGAAGACTCCTCTTCTCAGCTTCGAGGCTGTCAAAAAACGGATGAACTTCATAATGGTTAATGAAAAACTGACGGCTATACTGTTGGATACCCATACAAAATTCCTGCAGATATGGCGTCCCTGGCTGGATACAGCCCAACCTTCGAGATTTGACCGGTCCCTTCTGTCGATATGAGGATCGATTCTTTTGCGGTTGCCCTGGAGCCCTTTTGTGATTGTTTTTGTCTTTTTTTTCTTATGGTTTGTTTTTGTCTTCTCATCGATTGTCTTTCTTTATTCTTCTGTCCAATCTGTTCTTATGCCAATTGTAATGATTGTGTTCATTGCTCTGAGTGCTACATCTGCAATACTACCTAGGCAACCTGGACTCCTTTGTGAGCCCAATGTCTGGAATATATATTAACCTCTGGAGAACCTTCATTTCATGCCTCTCCTGTTTTCTATGCGCTGATATACAGTCAGGCCGAAATTGTTGGCACCCTTGATATTTTTTTTTTTCTGAAAATCAAGTATTTCACACAAAAAAGGTATTGCATTAACACATGTTTTTCTCAATATGCACATGTTTATTCCCTTTGTATGTATATTGGAACAAATATAAAACAAAGGCAGAAAAGCAAATATGACATAATGTCACACACAAACCCCAAAAATGGGCTGGACAAAAGTATTGGCACCCTTAACTTAATATTTGGTTGCACACTACTTTGGAAAACATAACTGAAATCAGTCGCTTCCTATAACCATCAATAAGCTTCTGACACCTCTCACCCGGAAACTTTTGGACCACTCTTCCTTTGCAAACAGCTCCAGGTCTCTCTTATTGGAAGGATATGACCTTTTCCCAACAGCAATTTTAAGATCTCTCCACAGGTGTTCAATGGGATTTAGATCTGGGCTCATTGCTGGCCACTTCAGAACTCTCCAGCGCTTCTTTGCCATCCATTTCTGAGTGCTTTTTGACGTATGTTTGGGGTCATTGTCCTGCTGGAAGACCCAGGATCTTGGACGCAAACCCAGCTTTCTGACACTGGGCCCTACAGTGCGACCCAAAATCCTTTGGTAATCCTCAGATTTCATGATGCCTTGCACACAGTCAAGGCACCCAGTGCCAGAGGCAGCAAAACAACCCCAAAACATCATTGAACCTCCACCATATTTTACCGTAGGTACTGTGTTTTGTTCTTTGTAGGCCTCATTCCGTTTTCGGTAAACAGTAGAATGATGTGCTTTACCGAAAAGCTCTATCTTGGTCTCATCTGTCCACAAGACGTTTTCCCAGAAGGCTTTTGGCTTACTCAAGTACATTTTGGCAAACTGTAGTCTTGCTTTTTTATGTCTCTGTGTCAGCAGTGGGGTCCTCCTGGGTCTCCTGCCATAGCGTTTCATTTCATTTAAATGTCGACGGATAGTTCGCGCTGACACTGATGCTCCCTGAGCCTGCAGGACAGCTTGAATGTCTTTGGAACATGTTTGGGGCTGCTTATCCACCATCCGGACTATTCTGCGTTGCAATCTTTCATCAATTTTCCTCATCCGTCCACGACCAGGGAGATTAGCTACAGTGCCATGGGTTGCAAACTTCTTGATAATGTTGCGCACTGTGGACAAAGGCAAATCTAGTTCTCTGGAGATGGACTTGTAACCTTGAGATTGTTGATATTTTGCCACAATTTTGGTTCTCAGGTCCTCAGACAGTTCTCGTCTCCTCTTTCTGTTGTCCATGCTTAGTGTGGCACAGACAGACACACAATGCAAAGGTTAAGTGAACGTCTCTCCTTTTTATCTGCTTTCAGGTGTGATTTCTATATTGCCCACACCTGTTACTTGCCCCAGGTGAGTTTACAGGAGCATCACATGCTTGTAACATTCTTATTTATCCGCAGTTGTGAAAGGGTGCCAATACTTTTGTCCAGCCCATTTTTGGAGGTTTGTGTGACATTATGTCGAATTTGCTTTCTTTCCTCCCTTTTTTTTTTTTGTCCCAATACACACAAAGGGAATAAACATGTGTATAGCAAAACATGTGTTAATGCAATACGTTTCGTGAGAAATACATGATTTCCTGGAGAAATATCAAGGGTGCCAACAATTTCGGCCATGACTGTAGCAAAATTTCTCTTAGAGTTTGCATTGTCATTGACCTCCAAATGTTTGCTCACCGTTTCCCCCTTACTCCCCTTTTTTTTTTTTTTACCTTCCCCGTCTTCTCTTCCATGGCACTTAAATATTCAGTTTATGCTTATGCTTCTACCAGTAAATGCTCTGAAATGTTTCTCAAATGCCCTGTATGTCTTATATTTGTAGGTCAATGTATATGTTTCTCGAATGTTTGTTTACCTCTGCTTATTGTATAATAAAACCCCTTGTAAAAGAATACCGTTCCGATGCCAAGCACTCTTGGCCTGAAGTTTCTTCCCGAACCGACTCTTCTGGGAGTGTCGATCTCCTGGGTCTTCCACTGAGCTCACTGGGTCCACTCATTATTGGATACAATACTAATTACAAAAAGGGGAAGGGAAAATGAGAACATTCATGTGGGCTTGGAGTATCTGCAGATCAGTCATCTCATCCTTCACACTTACTTAAACTTCCAGTGTTGACTCCCTTTCAAGGCATCTCATCCAATAGGTAGTCCTTCGCTGATGCATATATGACTCTGTTGCCCAACTTAGAGTCCTTTAAAAAATTCATATCTGCAAAAAAGCAAAAGAATACTTACTTATCCTCTTGCTCATATCTTGGAATACCAGTCCAGTGCCAAACAGTCTTGGGCTGAAGTTTCTTCCCAGAACGACCCTTCTGGGAATATTGATGTCTTGGGTCTTCCACTGAGCTCACTGGGTCCACTCATTGTTGGATACAATACTAATTACAAAAAGGGGAAGGGAAAATGAGAACTTTCATGGGGGCTTGAGGTATCTGCAGATCAGTCATCTTATCCTTCACACCTACTTTAACTTCCAGTGTTCACTCCCCTTCAAGGCAACTCAACCAATATGTAGTCCTTCATTGTTGCATATATGACTCAATGCCCAACTAAAAAGTCCTTTAAAAAATTCACATCTGCAAAAAAGCGAAAGGATACTTACTTATCCTCTTGCCCGTATCTTGGAATACCAGTCCGATGCCAAACAGTCTTGGGCTGAAGTTTCTTCCCAGACTGACCCTTCTGGGAGTGTCGATCTCCTGGGTCTCCTACTGAGCTCACTGGGTCCACTCATTGTCGGATGCAGTAATGACTACAAAAAGGGGAATGACAAATGGAAACTTTCATGGGGGCTTGGGGTATCTGCAGATCAGTCATCTCATCCTTCACACCTACTTAAACTTCTAGTGTTCACTCCCCCCTGAGGCAACTCAACCAATAGGTAGCCCTTGTTGCTGCATAAATTACTCTGTTTCCCAACTTAAAGTCCTTTAAAAATTCCGTACCTGCAAAAAGAAACACTTCTCCAGTTGCCCATATTGATGAATACTGTTCCGATGCCAAGCAATCTCGGGCTGAAGTTTCTTCCTGGACTGGACCTTCTGGGAGTGTCGATCTCCTGGGTCTCCTACTGAGCTCACTGGGTCCACTCATTGTCGGATACAGTAATAACTACAAAAATGGGAAAGGCAAGTGAGAACTTTAATGGGGGCTTGGAGTATCTGCAGATCAGTGATCTTATCCCTCACACCTACTTAAACTTTCAGTAACCACCCCCCCCCCCCCCCCCCCCCACAGGCAACTCATCGAATAGGTAGCCTTTTGTTGCTGCATACATGACTCTGTTGCCCAGCTTAAAGCTCTTTAAAAATTCCGTACCTACAAAAAAGCTATGGGAAACGTACCGTATTTTTCGCTCCATAAGACGCACCACCATAAGACGCACCTGACCATAAGACGCACCTAGGTTTTAGAGGCATAAAACAAGAAAAAAAAATAAAGACATAGACAGGAGAAACCAGAGATTGCGGACATAGACAGGAGATGACAAGGACTGCAGACATAGTACAGGAGATACCAGAGACTGCGGACACAGTACAGGAGATGACCAGAGACTGCGGACAGTACAGGAGATGACTAAGAGACCGCAGACGGACTGCGGACAGTACAGAGATGACCAGAGACTGCGGACTACAGTACAGGAGATGACCAGAGACTGCGACACAGTACAGGAGATGACCAGAGACTGCAGACACAGTACAGGAGATGACCAGAGACTGCGGACACAGTACAGGAGATGACCAGAGACTGCAGACACAGTACAGGAGATGACCAGAGACTGCAGACACACAGTACAGGAGATGACCAGAGACTGCAGACACAGTACAGAGATGACCAGAGACTGCAGACACAGTACAGGAGATGACCAGAGACTGCGGACACAGTACAGGAGATGACCAGAGACTGCACAGTACAGGAGATGACCAGAGACTGCGACACAGTACAGGAGATGACCAGAGACTGCGGACACAGTACAGGAGATGACCAGAGACTGCGGACACATTACAGGAGATGACCAGACACTGCGGATATAGCACAGGAGATGGTCAGAGACTGCAGACACAGTACAGGAGATGACCAGAGACTGCAGACACAGTACAGGAGATGACCAGAGACTGCAGACACAGTACAGGAGATAACCAGAGACTGCGGACACGGTACAGGAGATGACCAGAGACTGCGGACATAGTAAGGAGATGACCAGAGACTGCAGACAGTACAGGAGATGACTAAGAGACTGCGGACACAGTACAGGGGATGACCAGAGACTGCGGACACAGTACAGGAGATGACCAGAGACTGTGTTCAGTACAGGAGATGACTAAGAGACTGCAGACAGTACAGGGGATGACCAGAGACTGCAGACAGTACAGGAGATGACCAGAGACTGTGGACAGACAGGAGATACTAGGCAGACAGTACAGGGGTGACCAGAGACTGCAGACAGTACAGGAGATGACCAGAGACTGCAGACAGTACAGGGGGTGACCAGAGACTGCAGACAGTACAGGGGGTGACCAGAGACTGCAGACAGTACAGGGGATGACTAAGAGACTGCTGACCTTGGGGAGGGAGGGGGAGCGGGTACCTGAATTTGACAGGTACCCGCTCCCACTTCCACGGAGTTGTCCTCCCTTTAGTGTGGGCTGACAGCCGGGTGCCCAGTGCGCATGCGCGAGAAGCGTTGCGCTTTGTGATTGGTCCGACGCCTTCTGGGACCTGTCATGTGTCCCAGAAGACGCCGTACCATTCACAAAGTGCAGCGCTTCTCGAGCATGCGCACTGGGCACCCGGCTGTCAAGCCGAGATCCTACACTTCCCGGCACGGGAAGACTGTGCAGCGCTGGACCGAGGAACAGGTAAGGTCCTGCTGCAGAGCTGAGCGGCCGGCCCGGTATTCTGACGGCGGCGGTGGAAATACCGGACCGGCCGCTCCATATTCGCTCCATAAGACGCACTGACATTTTCCCCCCTTTTTTTTGGGGGGGAAAAAAGTGCGTCTTATGGAGCGAAAAATACGGTACTTCTCCACTTGCCCGTATCGTTGAATACCAGTCCAATGCCAAGCACTCTTGGGCTGAAGTTTCTCCCTGGGAGTGTTAATCGCCTGGGTCTTCCACTGAGCTCACTGGGTCCACTCATTGTCAGATGCAGTAATTATTACAAAAAGGGGAAACAGACCAGTGATCTCATCCCTTACACCTAGTGCTCACTCCCTAGGAGACAACTCAGCCAATAGGTAGCTCTTTGTTGCTACATAAAGGATTCTGTTGCTTAACACAAAGTCCTTTAAAAACTCCTGTACCTGCAAAAAAGCAACAGGGGTACTTACTTATCTTCTTGCCCGTATCATTAATTACCATTCCAATCCGATGCCAAGCAATCCTAGGCTGATGTTTCTTCCCAGATCGATCCTTCTGGGAGTATCGATGTCCTGGGTCTCCCATTGAGTCCATACAGTAAAGAATACAAAGGGGAAAGGCAAACGGGAACGTTCTTGGGGGTTTGGAGTGGCTGCAGGTCAGTGATTCCATCCCTCACACATACCAATAAGGAGCCCTTCAGTGCTGAATAAATAACAGAAAAGGTTGAAAGCGGAAAAGGAAAACAAGTAATTTTGCTGCCCACCAACCTACCATGATTACAGAACCATGGTTCTCTTTTTACTGGTTCGAAGGATCCTCCTCATCATCTCAACTCCTTCATTTTTCGATGTGAGCAAGGGCCATATCTTGCAAATATTCAGTAGAGATGTGCACCACAAAAAATGTATTTCATTTTGTTTCGCATTTGTTCGTTAAGCCAATTATTTTGTTTCGTCATATTCGTTATGTTAGAACGATTCATTCTCGGAATGTTTGTATATTCAGATTTGTTTCCGATATTTGTTTTTTTTCGGTTCCTATTTTCGGACGTTATTTTGGAAGATTCGGAGCGATTGGTTATGTCATTGTAAGTAAATAAGGAGTGCAGCGCTAAAAAAATTAAGAGATACGTCTAAAATTAAACATGTAGTGGTTATAAAACAGAATAAAAATAAATAAATAAATAAGCTCATAAAAGTTCTTATATTGATAGTAGTAAAAAAAGTATTCCAACCGCAGCGATATTCAAGTGCTGGTGCTTTTGAAGGTATAGTAAAATTGCACACTCACCAGATGCGCATATAAATATATCCAAAACGGTCCACTTTAAGCAACGGGATATACCAGGCATGTGGTAATCCTTCTTCAGGGTGTAAGGCAGCACAGCAGAGATACTTGGGCTGGGTTAGTAGTCAGCTCATCCAGAGGTCCCCTGTAAGGATGGATAGGTCAGCAGCCTGTGTTACAGGGATTCCCTCCTCTGGGTGCTCGTACGGGCCAGGTTCTGTAATTTAACAGTTCCATAAAGGAGCCAAACAAAAGTCGCCCATAGTGCAGTATATTTATAAAAAAAAGATTTTTATTCCATGGAAATAAATATAATAAAAGGTGACAGTAATGCAGAGTGAACACAGCACTGACCAAAATTAAGATGGCCGCCGGACCTTCACGAGGCGGCGTGATGTCACGGCGTGTTGGCTCCTCCTCCAACACGCAGGAGAACCTCTGGGGGACCTCTGGATGAGCTGACTACTAACCCTGAAGGAGGTTTACAACACGCCTGGCATATCCCGTTCCTTAAAGTGGACCGTTTTGGATAGATTTATATGCGCATATTCAATGCGCATCTGGTGAGTGTGCAATTTTAGTAAACCTTCCAAAGCACCAGCACTTGAATATCGCTGCGGTTGGAATCCTTTATTACTACTATCAATATAAGAACTTTTATGAATTTATTTTTGTTCTGTTTTTATAACCACTACATATTTAATTGTAGACGTATCTCTTAATTTTTTTAGCGCTGCACTCCTTATTTACTTATTTCTGACAGTTTTTTTCTGGTTACCTTAGTGCAATAGCTGCTTCATCGGTGCTTCCTTTTATACTGGTTATGTTGCTGTTTTATTTTGGCGACATGGTTGCCACTTCGAGTAACTTGCTTGTGACTTGAATGCTACTTGCTTGAGACTTTGAGGTAACTTGCTTGTGACTTGAATGCTACTTGCTTGAGACTTCGAGATAACTTGCTTGTGACTTGAATGCTACTTGCTTGAGACTTCGAGTAACTTGCTTGTGACTTGAATGCTACTTGCTTGAGACTCGAGGTAACTTGCGAGGTAACTTGCTTGTGACTTCGAATGCTACTTGCTTGAGACTTCGATGTAACTTGCTTGTGACTTGCTAATGAGACTTCGACTTTGTGACTTGAATGCTACTTGCTTGAGACTTCGAGGTAACTTGCTTGTG